TGCGTGGTGAGAGCTGCGGGCCCCGAAGCTCGGGTTTGGGGGTGCGGTTGGAGGACGGGGGCGCTGCTGGAGGGACGGGACGGCGTGGGACCGGGGCGAGGGCCCCAGCCCGGGGGAACTCCCTCTGCCCACTTCCCCTTGGATCTGCACCTTTCCTCCCTTACCAAGGGGCGGCCTTCCTTCCAGGGTCGCGGCCAGGCTCCAGCCGGCATCCGAGTAGCGACTCTCAAAGCAAGTGGGGCAGCAGGGGCCGCCCCCCGGCCAAGCATAGCGTCCACCCCCCAAGGGCCCGGCGCAGTCCTGGCAGCAGAAGTGGTTCTCGTGCCAGCGCCATCCCTCCGCCTCGGTGCAGCGAGGGGAGAAGATCAGCTGGGAGAGGGAGAGGGGACCGGCTCATTCATTCATTCACTCATTCATTCATCCAGTAACCACGCCTTATAGCCAGTTAACGCGAAAGCACGTCTACGGACACTCTCATTTGATCTACTCAACCACTCTCCGACGCAGGGAGGGCTGATTGGCTTAGCCAGGATCCCCAGCTAGCAGGTGGCACAGCCCGGAGTGCGACCCAGGGTTCCGCTAACATTGTGCTAACTCAGGGGAGTTTCTCGCATGACAAGGCACAGCACTGGGCACCCGGCATACTGATGGGAACGTCTGTCCAAGAGTCCCTGCTCCAGAGAAATTGTCAACCCCAGAACATATGGGGGACACTGCAGTGAGGGAGGAGGCAAAGGGTCCCAGGTGCCCAGAGCTCAAGTGGAGCAAGGGAGACACAAAGGTCCTAGGCTGTGCCCCTTCTCCCTACTCCACTCCCTTACATCCTGCCAAGTTGGACCCTGAACAGCCCTCCCCTCAGAGCTGTACTTGGTCACAAGCAAGGCAGTGTAGCCTCAACAGCTCAGCATGATGACGGCCGCAGTAGAGATGCCCATCGTGGTCGAAGTAGATGCGGTTCATCAGGGCCTGGCCACAGGCCTGGCAAGCAAAGCAAGCCTGGTGCCAGCAGGGCCGCTCTCCTGCCCTGGCTGCAAACACTCCGTATTCCCCTGGCCTCAGGCGCTCCCTGCACTGCCAGGCAGGGGTGCTGGCTGGTCAGAGGCAGCACCACCCTCCTGGCTCTTCCATCCCAACCCCACCTCCACTGCACACTCACCAAGAGCCCCCAAACTTGGTTTCTCTTGAAGTTTACCATACTGTCAATCCCCAAACCCTTTTCTCCCCAGAGTTTCAGAAGCTAGCTCCTTCTGCAGAATTGAGAGGGCAAAGTGTGTCGGAAGGGGAATATTTGGGGGGGCGGGGGGAGATACTACATACCTTTTCACAGGTGCATTCTTGGAGCTTGGGAGGTATCAGGCACGCCACCCCCTGTCCCAGGGCCTCACGCCTCCGCTGGGCACAGAGAGCCGGAGCTCAGCCAGCTCCTCCTCCCCAAGGGCCAGGCAGTATCGCTCCTGCAGAAACAGGTTCCACTGTGACCAGGAGAGCCCCAGCAGGCAAGATTGAAGTTTGAGTGGAGAAGGCTTAGCTGCTGGGTCAAAGGAAGGTTGTAGAACCTCCGGGAGGTGCAGGTGGTAATAGCATAGAAGGGCATTGAGATGGAAAGGGAAAGGGACAGGGACAAGAGTGCCAGTAAACCCACCTCAGTCTTACTCCCCCCCCCCCCCCCCCCAGGAACGGTCATCACTCAGGTCTGACACTAAGCACTTCGCCCTGTCACCACACATTTAGGTCCTTGCTCCCAGTGAACCATATATATATAGCTCAATATCACTTCCCATTGTGTTTGCCCTATTTAGTCCATACTCTCCTGTCTTGCCTACCCAACTGATTATAAGCCTTTAGACTGGGCACACAGAGAGCCTCAATAAATACTTAACCATACTCCCTACATTTGTACATTCCATTATTGGTTTCAAAAGTCGCTCATGTCCATTTTCTCATTTGCTCTTCAACTAAGCATTGTGGCAGGCAGAACGGCCATCATGTAGGTAACTGTACCCATTATGTAGATGTGAAAACTCGGACTGAGGTTGGGGGAATGACTTCCCCCAATTAGTGGCAGAGCTAGACCTTAAATCCCATGTTCCCTGACTTCTGGACCAGGGTTCTTCCACAGAAGGTAAAAAGGGGGACGCTGGGGAGAGGGAGACCCACATCGCCGTCCTGAGGAGGGAGCTGCTGCAGGAGCGTCCGGAGCCCAGGCCAGTTGGGGGCTCGGTTGGTGTCCAGGCCAAGGAGCCCCCAGGCTCAGAACTTCAGGATCCTGAGGAGACACAGCAGCAGATGAGGAGTGGAGCTAGGTTTTCCCTCTTCCCTCCCCTTCTCATCGCCACCTCTTCTCCAATCTGGGACAACAGCCAAGCAAACACACACACACACACACACCCCTTTTGGACAATGAACTTTAAGATCACCGGGACAGCTGACCCACTCCTGCATTTGTGGTCTGATTGATGGAGGTTGGGGAGGCCTCACAGCCCAAAACAGCTTCCCTTCATATGCTTAAAATCACCCCCTTCACTCAGGGCCCAAACCCCTCAGGTCTGCTTTAACAACACAGACCCCCTTGGAGAGGTAATGTGTATTCATGTGAATACATTTAAAGTCAAACCCTCATGTCCTGGGGAGGTGGGGGGGATGGGGGTGGTGGTGGCTGTAGAAACGGATTCCTGCAAAGAGGAATCCTGTTCTCCTTTCCCTGAGCTCCACCTCCTCCCAGCTGGTGGAAATGGGAGGAGATCTAAAGGGTGGAGGCATATTGGTCTCAGAAGGAAGGGCAGGACTCCCACTACCTGAGCAGAGGTCTCCTCAAGGTCCTCCTCCGGCAGGTGGCCTGGGCCACTGTCGAAGGAAGTTCGCTGGTGGGTCTGCATCCCCAGCGGTGAGGCCCTCCCCTCGGTGGGGCCAGCCAGGGTTCAGCACCGACACTGATGGCAAAGTCTACCCCGAAAATAACAAGAACACCTCCCATTTATTCAGTTCTTAGAATGTGCTACTAGGCAGCGCGCTAAGTGCTCTACAGACATGATCTCATCCAACAACCATGTGAGTCAGGTGGCATTTTCTTCTCCATTTTTACAGATGGCCAAACTGAGGCCGGGTGAGCATACATGGTATGCCCAAGGTCACACGGCTAGTAAGTGGCAGAGCCAGATCTTGAGGCCAGGCCTTTCGGCTCCAGAGTTTCTGAAGCTCAAACTCTGGGGTCTCTTAAGATTGGGATGGTGCCCTAGCCAGTTTGGCTCAGTGGATAGAGCGTTGGCCTCCAAACTGAAGGGTCCCAGGTTCGATTCCGGTCAAGGGCACATGCCCGGGTTGTGGGCTCTATCCCCAGTGGGGAACTTGCAGGAGGCAGCCAATCCATGATTCTCTCTCATCATGGATCTTTCCCTCTTCCTTCCTTCCTCTCTGAAATCAATAAAAAAAATAACAAGATTGGGATGGAGGAAAGAGGAGGCCCACAGTGGGAGGAGAGGGCACTGCGCCTTTCTGGTGAGCCTTGAGCAGACTGGTCCCTGCTTCCCCACCTCCATGGCCTTAACTCTCACCGTTCCTCATTGTGTACTTACCAGGCCAGTGCCTGGCTTCCTCCCCACTCCCTGCACAGGCCCTACCTGCTCCAGCTGTGGGCGTGAGCCAGGCGAAAGGACCACTGCGCCAGGAAGCCCTTCTCCGCCTCTCCAGCCCATCGCTGTTCCCTTTCCCTGAGCTCCAGAAGTACAGCCAGTGTCTCAAGATGGAGCACATGTTTCTCTTTGCCCCTGTGTCTCTCTCAGCTCCTCATCTAGTCTCTGAGCTCCTCCAGGACACAGGCAAATCTTGTGTTTCTATCTCCCATCTACAGCAGCAATTTCATTGGACCATTCTAAGTGCATCTCTTCAGCCCTCCTCTGGGCAAGCCCTGGACCGACCACAGGATCTTGGGGGCGGGAGGAGACGACTGAAGTAGAAAAGGGATGGGCCCTGCCCACAAGGAGCTCAAAGTCTAGTGGGTAAGACAGAGATGAAGCCGGGCAGAATGGGGCTAGAGCTCCCGGCAGGTACACACAACGCCACAGGGAAAGAATAACCAGAGCAAACTTCTCTGTTTACTCTGGGCCAGGGGCTAGTCAGCATTTTACATCCTTTACTCCATCCTCACAACAATTGCCTGAAGTGGTTTCTATTATCCCATTTTAAGGCTGAAACAAACTGAGGTTCATTACCTTGCCCACGGTCACATTAGGACGAAGGGGAGCTTTAGGAGGAGGTTGCCTTTGAGAGCTGAGATGGATTCTGACGGGCAGCGGGCACAGGAGGGCCGTCAGCAAATCCCTGGCCTGTAGAAGAGGAGGTGGGAACAGGGTTAGACTGCTTCCCAGCCCACAGCCCCCTCTGCACCCCCTTTCAGATGTCCCGTGCCACCCTTCCCAGCTTCCTGGCTCCACACCCACCTGCTTCCTTCCCAGTCTGTCCCTCAGGTCAGGCTTCCTGTGGAAGGCAGCAGGGTGGGCCATTCACACATAGGGCCAGCAGCAGCCACTTTCCCTAACAGCCGTGCCTCTGCCCCAGGCAGCAAGAGGTGCTTGGGGGAGGGGGGCCCACAGGAAAAGGGGGTACATCTGGGGCCCCAGGGGGACTCTCTTCCAGGTTCTAGTTTGCATGAATTGTCCCACACAGACAATGCTCAGAAGTCAGCCCTCGCCCCTCACCCTTCAATCCCCTTCAAGGGCAGCCTAACTCCACCTCCGCTTAGCACTGGACCCCACTTTTTTAAAATGCTGATTCCTTGCAAAATCCGCCCCCCCCCTGCTCCCCTAGACAAGGGACAAGGCTGAACCCCCGCTCTCACCTGCGCGCAGGTGTAACCAGGCTCATGGAGTTCCACCTTCCCAACCCACCCCTGCCCTAAAGGGCAAAGCCTGAACGGCCCTATATAGTCTGGGGAGGTAAAGGGATGGGTTGGTTTCCCGGACAGTGAGAGGGAGAAGAGAAGTGTCCAGTCCCGCCAAATACCCTCTGGATAGATCCCCAAAGTGTTTTCTCGGTCTTCGCGGGGCCCACTTTGGAGGCAGGCAGCGTGGTGTGATGCCCAGTCAGCTGGGGTTCCCAGTCTGGCTGCTGGGAGCTTAGAGAAGAGGCGGGACTCTGCTGGGGACTCACCCTCGCGGCGCGCCGGCTTCTGGGCCGTTCTGGTCGTCCCCCGCCGTTGGGTTCCCCTCACTGAGTCCCCACCCCAAGTCGCAGCGCCCGCCCCCACCCCGCGGGAGCTCAGCCCTCCCTCCCCCACGCCCTCCCAGGCTGGTAGAGCTGGACAGCTCGGGGAGGGGTCGGGGCTCAGCCTTTGTGAGATCCCGGGTGGAAAGTGTGCAGGCTCCATTCCCCCGCCCCCATTACTCTGGGCTCAGTGCCGGCATCGTGCTCCTGCGGGCGCCGAGCAGACATCGGGGAACCTCGTTTACGCGGGTCCTCGGCCACTCGCGGAACAGAACGCCTGATCAAGCACGCAGGTCCCCCCAAACCTCCCTCTGGTTTTCTAGCCCCGCCCATCCATCTCTGTGTCCTCCCCCTTCTCCCCAGTGGTCCCTCCGCCCCTTCCCCTTTCTCAGTCTCTTGCCAGAGTCCCTGGTACGGCCTGTCTCTCTTCCATCCCTTCAGACCCCTCCCCGATCTTTCGTGTTTCTCCCTCCACCCCGTGTCCCTTTCTGCTCGGGTAGTGGAACCTCTGGTCCCACCTCCGTCCCCTCAGCCCCGCCCCCGCGCCAGGCCCCGCC